CTCTAAAAAACCCTCATCACGATTATTCCAACTCACTTCCTTTGTCAGCCTCCTAACTCGACCTCCTAAGAACCATATCCAAGTTCAGACAGATGTAAGGAATTGCGAAATGAGGAGGAAGAGCCCCTTCCCAAGTAAAATGTAACTTCTGGGATAAGCATGTCCAAACAGGCAATAAAAAAGGAATTTTTCTCAGTGTTTAATTACTTTGAACGAAGACAATTGCTATACCAAAGAACAATACTCACTTTACCGCTAGGCACTCACGTGCTACATGCACTCGCCATGCTTGAGATCAAAAGACACAGTGAGAAAAGACAAACAAAGGAAATTGTTTTTTTAAATGATGTGAACCCTTTGTTTGTCTTGTCCCAGCGCGTCCCTGCTCTCCGACGCGGCGGTTTTGTACTGCTGAAGGTGGCTCGATTGGATTTTTTTAGGGGGTTACCTCCCAAGTTTGATCGTTAACTAGGTCGGCATGAGTAAAGATATGGAAAAAAGGTTACCACAACTGTGTTACATAAAGATGAAAATTTCCTATGATCTGGGTTTTATTGCAATCGGAGTCGCCATGGCAACGTAATGACGCCATTACGTTTTTCATTTATCTTTGTGTTTCTCTGTACCAGGAGTTTTTTGAAGAAATCGCTTAAGGGATTTTGTACCTGCCACAATTGCCTCCATTATGGTAAAGTTTGAACAAATTCTATGAGAGAGTTTTCGAAATATTTTGAAATGCAGTTTTAAGAATCATAAAAACAGTGAAATAGCATGCTAGCCGCACAGTATTTTAAGAAATTGATATTGATACTCGCGATCGCCCCGAGCAATTCCTCTCTTTTTATGTATGCAGTTTTCAATGGAATCAAACCACTATGAGATGAAGCCGCGATTCCAAAGCTTATCGTCTTCTTACAATATTAGCGAATTGTGCAACTAGCATGTTATTTCGTTCTTAAAACTTTGAAAGTGGCTAAAAAGCCAGTTGCTGTTCTAGTGGAAAATGGGAGGAGCATAGGGATGAATTTTTCCCAGCTAAATGAAAAAGGAAATGGGCGGGAAAAAAAAAAGAAAAAAAAGGGGGGGGTTAAACCCTCTTTAAAAATTGTTATTAAAGAAGATGAATTGCTAACCACAAAATATGATGATCTATAATATTATTTCGTTCTTTAGAACATCGAGAGTAAGGAAAAAAAAAATTTGTAGCTGTTCTAATTAAAGGAGGGTGTTAAAAAAGAACAGGGTGACTCAAGTAAAAAACAAAACAAAAACAAAAACAAAACAAAACGAAAAAAAACATCTACAATAAAAAGAGGAAGTGGGAAAAGAAATAAAACAACAACAGCAACAACAACAAGAATACCCAACCCGAATTACTTCGAATTACTTCGTTTCCCTCCCTTCCATTGGCCAAGCTCTGTGCGTGCCGTGCGGAGTAACTGCCTGCTATGTTCACACAATACCGGATATCTTTTGCGCCGGTGCGAGAACTATACCGGATAGGGCTTCAGTTCACACACACCAATGGGGATTTCAGCGCGAAGTTGCGCCGGGCCGATGTCGCAGGTGGAGCGTCGGCATATCGAATAGCTTCTGTGTCAGACTATGGTGGGGTGTAAAGCAGGTATTCAGACCTTCGCGAAAGTGAATAAGTAGGAAAGAGGACTGGAGTCCACTGAAGCGGAAGCAAATATTCATGAGTAAGGAATGGAATTAGTTCACCAAACCCTCACCTTGAACGGATCCGGCACGATGTTCGATGTGTATGAACGACTTGTTCCAGTTCTGTGCGCGCCGTTGCTGACTGTTCATACTATACTGCACCAGCCGACATGAAAGGCTGTCCGGTATAGGGTGAACATTGCCTAAATCTGCCTAATGTTGAGCTAGGGGAGGGGTAGATGAGTAGGAACCCAGAATCTTATAAAGATCCGAATATTGGGGAGAGTAAGACAAGTACACCCGAGCGAATGTTAGTGCTTACCCCCTCCTCCCTAAAACGCCTGCACTGCAGACTTGACATGATGACGTACGCACGAGCGTAACACCTAAAAAGGAAGAAATCGAGCCCTTTTCGGCGTATTCCTGTAATCATGCATCTACTACATAAGAAGCAAGGATATGCATTCAATAATGGGGAACTTGAGGAAAAGTGTTTTTGGCATCGTCAACCGGAAGTTAGTCCTTTCCACTTTCTGTGAACGTGTATCGCAGAAAAACATCTTTGCTTAATCTCCCTATATCTTAGTCTTCAACCTCGCCGTCCAAACCATGATCTCTTAAAGAGCCATCCTTGAGAAACCAAATTCTCAGGCAGCACTTCTTGTGGCTCTAAAGTTTCCAATCGCGAAGAAAAACCTCGTTTCAGTGACGGTACGTAATCTGATTCAGTAGCTGTTTTTTTTTTCTTCATTTTTGAATCAGGCAAAACCAAATCCTTCGCTTCCTTCGTTTATTGCCAGCAACAGTTTCTTCTGCATTTCCTTGAACGATGAGTAAGAAGGTAAACAAAGCTGGTTGAAGCTAAAGAAAGAAAAGACGGTAACACCCGGTTAGCTCAGTTGGATAAGCTCCGGTCTGCCGGAGAGACGGGGAGACCGGGGGTTCAAACCCCGACCGGAGCAACACTCAGGGTCTTTCAATAACTGAGCAGAATGTGCTGCCTTTTCTTTCTTCTCTGAAAACGGTTTGAGTTCTAGTCTTCTCGGATAAGGACGATAAACCATAGGCCCTGTCCCACAACCCTTGTACGTATAGTTATTTCTGCATGTAGGACGCTAAAGAACTCACACACTGTTACGTAGGGAACGTAGTACCCGGTGTGGTGGTCTACCTTTACAGCAAGTGGTCGGTCTTGCTACTTTAGCTAAAAGGGCTTCTGAGCAAATGAGACCACAATATGGGTACAGCGCAAAGTCAAGCTATTTGCCGAGTGCTGGAACCTTCTCTCAGGGACTGGGAACACAGGAGCACAATGAGGACAATTTTCACAAACGCGTTCCACAGTATTTTTTTTTCCTCCGACAATTAAGGAAGAATTCTTTAGATGATACATCCTTTCTGCAAGTCTCAGCTTCGCTCACAAAAAAAAAACGACTGAGACGGCCGGGGGAGGGGGAGTGGGTAGGGGAGACACGCGAAAAATACGATATTTCACCCACCAGGTATGTGCGGTAGGCAGTGCGTCTGCTGTGGGAACTGAAGAGATCTGTATTGGTGGAGAAAGCTCAGCAAATCCTCCAGGAGGCAGCTGAGAGAATCCTGTAATGAACTGAACCAACCGGGCAAGTTCTTCTTAAGTAAAACTAGTCACTATCGTCCAAAACCAATCCAGAGTCTAAGGAGAAAAGTGAAATTAGCGCTTTTCATGGATGTCGTTTCTGCGCTTCAGAACACTAATTATTCTGGCCAATAACAGCACAGGCACACAATCCAATGAACCAATCAGAGCTCGAAACAAAAAAACCAACGACTAAGCGCAGGAAAATGCGCGAAACCAAGTCGGAAAGGATTTCGACATTGCTGCTATTGTTCGAAAGAATGGCGCAAAATTTGTTACACAAACGCTTCTACTAGTTGTGTAACGCAAAGTTTGAAAATTAACCACGTTTGGGAAATAGGTGTTAATACATCTTCACTCATAAATATATATACACGTTGCATGAGCTCCTCCTTAATAACAATTTGTAAAAGTTTCAACTTTTGTTTAGTGTAAACAAAGAGACCTTGTTTGGCAAGACGTGAGGAAAAAAGTCCTTTTTAGCGCAAACGTGCTGTCTAATTACATGTCTCGCGCTGTCTAATTACATTGTCCTACTAAATTAATAATTAATGGTAAAATCAGCTCTGCTGGTGGCCAATCAGATGTGAGGATTTTGTTATAGTAATAACAAAGTTTTAAGTAGGATAAGCACGTCACTCACTTCTAATTCGTATTCATCAAACACACTGAGAAGACTGTCTGGAACCATTTCATTTAAACCTATACAGAGTAGAAAAAAGGTAGTTAACGGCTCATTCATGGTTTTTACATAACGTCACAGCGGCCATGTTGGTACACCAAAAAATTCCAGTGAGGTCCAGGGGGGATTGAACACTTTCTTAAGTAAAATTTTCGCTTGTTTCAAGAAATTTGAATAATTACTGATCAAGTGAATGAAAGCGATCTAGTATATTGATGGACTTGTTAGAGGAGCAGTGGTTGGTTTTAAGAACTTCCTGGATCGTTTATGGATTTACTTAAGCACCTTTCTTATCACTTACACAATAAACCATTATTATTGCCCAATAATACACAAAAAATCATAAAGTAAGTTCACTGATCGAATTCCTGGACCAGTACCAGAGGTCCAGTTAGTTTCTATAAATAAATTCCTGATCGATTGAAATTTGAAAATGATGATTTTTCAGGAGAGGGGAAAAACAAAGCACCCTGGAACCCTTGGAGAACAGAACCAACAAAAACTGAACCCACGACTCGCCACTTTAAAAACGAGAAGGAAACTGGAGCCGAAATGCGTCCCGCAATTGTTTATGGGATCGTGCCATCAGTAATCCATTGTTTCTCTGTCCCTAGTATCAGTCCCAGACGTCTTTGCGAAAGTTAACTCGGGCCAGGTGAACCTTTTGCAAAAGCCTCAATCTCCTGCTTGACGGAGGAGGACAGACGATACTGCGCTAACAGATCCAGATATTCTTTTTTGTTTCATTCTGTTACTGGGATCTGAGCACCACCCGGCTTCAATTCAACCATCTGCAAGAACCAGACAGGGTTATAGTTGTTGCTTACCTCAAATGGAAATTGTCTTTAAAAGAGAATTGATGATTTTCTAAGTGCAAATTACGTGGAAACCCAATGGAAAAAATTACAAGGGGACTGGGATGTTCAGTATAACGGGGAAAACTTATACCGGTTCCTTTTCATGCATTTTACTATAACTTGGGCGTAAAATAGTTCGTTCTGCCGCGGTCTTCGTTTTATAAGAGTTCGACCGATTAGAAACCATACAATCCCTTTTCTTCGCCTGCAAAGTTTGCATTTGGGTGGCGGAAAAATAGACAAGAGTGTCATAACTTCCGAGACCAAATTCGTGGCGTATAAGACAGCCAGTGATGGTGTAAAATTTAGTTATTCTTTTGTCTGGCTGATATTTGGTCTTCTGTGCCTCGTTTTAAGGTATAGACAAGTAAAAGTTGTTGGGAATTCTGTAGATGCAATTGAGACAGAGAGAGCTAACTAACATAAATATAAAAGAACAGAAATATTGCCACCATCTTGGAATAAGGTGTATAATCAGCAGAAAGAGATTTGAAGGCGTCAAATTGCTGTTTTAAGAAAATACAATCATTAAAAGTTTTACGGAACGTAAACTTTGGGCTACAAAGCAAGCATAAGAAGTGAAACCGCGCGAACGAAGCTTTTCAGCTGAGGAAAACACAACTTGCTGCAGAGGTTATCAAAATTCTGTAAACGCTGTTTCCTTACTCGAGAGACTCTGGGATGGAGCGTTATCTTACCTTCTCTAAGCGCCCCTGCATATCGTTTCAGGGCGGAAAAACGTAATGAGCATGCGTGAACTTTTTTGCCCAGATCCCCTGGCCGGGTTTGAAAAAATGGCGGGATTTCAAATATTTTATTGCCTAAAAATAAAATGTTTCCACTCATAATCTGGAAAGAACAGGCAATTTGTCTTCAAAAGTTGCAAGTTGTGGTTATAACCTTGTCGTTACTTAATTTTCTCGAAGAATACCTCATAGTAAAACGGACTTTAACGACATTTATTTCCTTGCGCTGTACTGGAAATGTGCATGCGTAGGTCCGATTTTTTTCGAGATGCATTGACAAAATGTGTTCATATAAGGAGGTTCCTGGATATATAAGGTCCGGAGCTCCACTGTGGACACAAAAACAACATATCTTTGGACAGTGATTTGCCCAAAAAAAATAACGCTTGCCCACAATGTGTTTGAAGTCACTGAACTTTGTCGCACTCGAGCTGATATTTTAAAACCCTCGCTCGATCGGACCTCGTAGTTTCGCAGATCACTAAAATATAAACAAAATCTTCAATGTAGAAGTTATTGCGTTGATATGTGGGCAGAAAAAAGGTCAATCTTTATCTAGTAAAATCTTCCCAAAAATCGGTTTCAAAGCAACTATAGGTTTTTAAACTTGCCCGTTTCGCGCAGATATATAAATTTTGCTTTGTGTTGTCAAGTTGAACTCGCATTAAACATCTGTCAAAAACCTACGCTTGAGTAGGATTTCCTTCAAACAAAGTTAAAGTTACATTATTTTAAAAACTTCCTGCTGACAATGAAGAAATGAATTTTCTGTGCGAAAACAACCTACCTAAAGATCTTAAAAGCAAAAGATCAGTTGCAACTTGGCAGCCAAGCCATGATTCACCATGTAGCTATTTTCAATAAGCTTAACTGGTCCATGCGAGGGTCTTCGTTTAAGCAAATTAAACTCAGCCGATCATTAGAAAATACAGAAAATTGCACATAAGGGTTTGTTTTGCTCTCCTCAGTCAAATCAAGCTGCAGCAATTGTTTACGGGAAAAGAGTCAATTGTTTTGAAGTCACTGCCGGCAGTTGTTGTTCTCTACTTCACAGCGAGTGAAAAGGACAATTTGCGTACAAAAAGTTATTCTTATAAAGAACAGAAACTTTCACAGTGCACTGGAAAACAAAACTATGCAATGAAAAATGAAAAAAACTCTGACTATTATTACTTGAGCAACAGAAAAATGATCTTGAGTAAGTTTGCTGGCCTTCTATTTCCGAGAAAGTTTAATAAGCGCACAAGTTTGTTCACTCTGATGCGTTAAAACAGCAATATGGTTCTTTGACTGAAGACAAAAATAAAGCTGGTTCTGCAAAGGTAATAAATCTGGGCATGTAAAAAAAGTAACCGTAACTACAAATAACAGAATACAAGCGGGTATGAATTCAACCCGGCGAAATCAATTCATAAACGGATACTCAATCAGAAAAATACTCGCCTCTTAAGAAATGTTTAAAACCTTTTATTCCACCTCAGACTGACGGAATGATCCGTTTTTCCTTTAACATCGGTTGTTCTGAATCCAAAGTAATTTTCAAGCGACGAAAAAAAAGCAAACATTTCAAATAAAAATGCTTTACAGGGAGCAAACGTTCGCACCTCGTGCATTTCACTCAGAACTCCAGCAACAAACAAACACAGTCAACACACAGAAAAGCCCGCCTTGAGCCTGCGATAAGGGATGCGCAGAGGCTTGCGCAGAACGTTTTTCCGCCCTGAAGCATATCGTACTCCTCTTCAGCGAAAACCAGTCCCAGGCTCTCCGGGTCAGTCTCCTCGATGTACTTCATTTTAGTCCGATAAAGCTGCTTATCGTCACTTTCAAAATACTGTGGTCATGAACAGCAGACACAGTGTCGAAATTCAGACAATAAGGGAAAGCGGTAACTACGAACTTACACAGAGAAACGGTAAAACAGACCAAAACTTCTAAACACAGTCGAACCTCCCGTAAGCGATCACCCAAAAAGCGAAGACTTCGTGCTCCGCGCTTACGGCAAGAGGTCGCTTACGAGAAAACAACCACAGGGGGTCTCTTGTGATAAGCTCACTTGCAGATGACAAAGATCACGCAATTCAAACCGGTCGCTTACAAGACAAGTTGCTAGAAAAATAAGCATGATAAGAAGGCAGATATGGAGATTGTGATGTCTTACCCTGTAACAGACACGGAGACCAAGACGTTGAGCTAAAAAGGATCTGGTGAACCTCGCTTTCACGTTGAGCCTTCGGCCTGAGCCCAAAGCAGGTTCGTACAAACATTTTCCGACATTGTGCCCGGCAAACTCATCAAACTTTAACTTCATTCCAAGAGGCCTTTTGGGGTTCGGGTGAACCTACAAGGATGAAACGACAAAATCAGTTATCAACTGGGAGTAGGCTAACAGTCAAACCGCCGCCTGGTTAGCTCAGTTGGGAGAGCGCCGGTCTGCTGAGCGGGAGGTCGCGGGTTCAAACCCCGGCCGGACCAACACTTAGGGTCTTTAAATAACTGAGAAGAAAGTGCTGCCTTTGTAATGACATTTGCAAATGGTTAGACTTTCTAGTCTTCTCGGATAAGGACGAAAAACCGTAGGTCCCGTCTCACAGCACTTTCACTGATCTGTTCTTGTGGGACGTAAAAGAACCCACACTACTGTTCGAAAAGAGTAGGGGACGTAGACCCCAGTGGTGTGGCCAGTGGTCACACCACTGGGAGTAGTCAGTGGTCTTGATAACATCTCAGCACGTCTCCTGAAAGAAGCGTCTCCCATAGTTACTCGCAGTCTAACTTTTATAATAAATCAGTCAATTACCATTGGAATATTTCCAAATGCTTGGAAACGAGGTAGAGTTTCGCCAATATTTAAAGAAGACCTCAGGACTGATCCTAACAACTACAGACCTATCTCAGTTCTGCCTGTAGTAAGTAAATTAATTGAAAGAGTTGTTTTTAATCAATTATATGAATATTTAAATAATAATAACTTGTTAACTGAATCACAATCTGGCTTCAGACCTATGTTTTCCACTGAAACAGCTTTACTTGAGGCTACGAATGAATGGCTATGGAATATTGACAACAGTCTCTTAAATGGCGTGATATTCCTGAACTTGAAAAAAGCTTTTGATACCATGGATCATGCTATCCTTCTGGGAAAGCTTAAACTCTATGGTTCCAGTCCTATCTATCTGACCGAAAGCAACAAACGTTCATTGATGGAGTTCAATCTGATTTCTGTAATATAACATGTGGTATTCCACAGGGATCTATTTTAGGCCCTTTCTTATTCACTATTTATATTAATGATCTCCCTTCGTGTAATTTGTTTTCAACACCCAGAATGTATGCAGATGATACTACCCTTACCACATCTGCAGAAGACCCATGTGTCCTTGAACATAAAATGAATTATGATATGAATTTAATCCAGTCATGGCTGTCAGCAAACAAATTAACTTTAAATGTTAAGAAGACTAAATACATGCTTATAGGGAGCCAATTTAAGTTATCCCAAATAAATAGTGACATCACAGTCAAAGTCAATAACACACCCTTAGAAAGAGTAATTAAACATAAATCCCTTGGAGTTCAAATTGATGAATCTTTGAACAGGCGCCCACACATTCATACCATTTCAAAGAAAATATCCGCTGGTATTGCTTTCTTAAGGCGTGTAAGTCATTTTATACCATTTGATACTAGAGTGAATATGTACAATGCACCGGTAATGCCATATTTTAATTACTGTGGTGCCGTATGGGGTAATATCAATAAGGGACTAGCAGACAAACTTCAAATGTTGCAGCATAGGGCTGCTGGAATTCTCACCTTTTCTAACTATGACGTTCGCTCAAGTGTTTTGTTGGATGAGCTTGGCTGGGAAAGGCAAGAATATGTAAGACTTAAACAGTTGGCTGTGGCAATCTATAAAATACATGATAATCTTTCCCCATCGTATCTGAGGCGGATCTTACCAACACCTCAAATGTACATTCACACAATCTTAGAAATTCTGAGTTAAATCATTATGTCCCCAGACCCAGAACTGAGTCTGCAAAAGGGAGCCTACATTACAGAGGATCTGTTCTGTGGAACAAGATTCCCACAGAGATTAGAAAACTGCCTAGTTTAAATGTTTTTAAAACTTCAATTCATGGGAAAGATTTTTCTAATACACCATGACCCATTGTAGCTCTTATTATTCATAATGTAAGTTTTTGTATTTTTAACATTATAGTCAATAGTTCCTTAGAGTATTTTAGTCTAGTTTTAAACACGATTCCTAGGAAGACCATGTAAAATGATACGATTTCGTGTATAAATAAAGATTGATGATGATGATGATGGCCAACCTTAACGGGTTGTGGGATTGGGTAGGGATGGCACCTTGCATGGGACCTTTGAGTCCCGTTTGTGCCTATTCCCTCTGGGAAGGCCTGTGTCCAGAAAAGCTTGTAAGACTAAAAAAAAAAAACTTAAGTCGTTGGTGTTCCTTTGCCGAGAAAGCAATGATAGCGCGCGCACGCTGTCAAATTGGCTCTATTTTTCCCGGCCTCAATACCGTTTTCTCCCCTCCCCCCCCCCACCCCGTCCTTCCAAGGCGGTGCAACTTGGTACTGGTTAGCTGGGATGGAGGTTAATGTTCGTACCAGTTATCACGCTGAGTATTGCAAGGATAATAGACTACTCATTCTCAACGACTGGAAATTTTCCTCACCGTTGGAAACCGCTTAAGTTACCCCTTTGTTCAAAAAAGGTGATGCAAGCGACCCATCCAATTATCGTCCAATTTCTGTCCTTACAGTCCTATCTAGGGTTGTTGAACGTTACGTCCACGATTTTTTGTATGAATTTCTTGAAGTGAACAACTTGATTTACTACCTCGTCCCCAGGAATTTTCCCTAGAAGAAATGGGAGGTTGCTTAATGTATTTAGACAGTCCGGTTTTCGTAAGCACCAAGGTTCTGAGACTGCTCTGTTTAAAAATTAAAGTTGATGAGCTCTTACTAAATTTGGACAACAACAGAGTGAGGGAAGTATTACTTGTTGACTACTGTAAAGCGTTCGACATAGTCGACCACAATTTGTTATTGCTGAAATTAGCTTATGGCTTTACCAACAGAGCATATAATTGGTGTCATTCTTATCTCTCTGGTAGACGTCAGCTGGTCTGCATTGATGGCAAGGAATCGTCTTTGGCGTGTGTAAACCATGGAGAGCCACAAGGATCTATTTTAGGTCCTCTTTTCTTCAGCTTATTTACCAAGGATTTGCTAGTTTATATTACAGAGGGGAGAGGTTCCATCAAACCTCCCCCCCCCCGTTTCCCTACCCCTTGTACCACGGTGGGGGTATGACTTTGCGTGTACGCCTGAGGGTTCAGTGCTCGTTTAGTTCACAAAATATAGCCTTACGTTTGCGTTGATTTGCCTGCGTATTGAAGTCAGACTTTGAACGACTATCACGCTCATGATAAGGTCGCGCTTCTCTTATCTGGTCTCAAGGATTCATTACTCCGCGCGTAAAAGTAAAAAAAAACAAGCAAACAAACAGAAGTTTTTTTGTCTTGATTAATAACAGAAGCATTATCTTCTTTACCTTTCAGTTCCTATGTCTTAGTAATTTCGTTTCATTTTGTTTTTTGTTTTTATTCTTCTGATTGTTTTTTTTTGGAATTTTTTTCAAGTGGTTTATTCGTTTTTTATATTCTCCTTCAGTGTCGTCGCAGCAATTGATATACATGTAGGCCACGTCCGTCTATTATTGATCGAAGCTACTGTACAGCTCTGGGACACAATAATTGCGAGGTTGTCAGGAGCCCATAACCCGGAGCGAGCAACTTCCATGCGCTCGTGCCACGGCGTTTTCACGGACCAGTTTATTTTTAGAACGGTTTTTAGCGCGAATTTGGAATATCTTTTAAATTTCACAAACCAGTTAGCAAAACCTACAGACCTTTGTTTTCTCTTTTTGATATCTTATACTTCAAATGCGCTCATAGTCATGGTAGGGATTCTCTTTTCGCGGGAAAAAGTGCCCTAAAGTGTGTCTAAAAATAAACTGGTCCGTAAAAACGCCGTGACATTGGCCTAGTATGGGAGTACTGTGTGTATCAGGCAGTCAACTAATGAAACATCCAACACTAAAAATACAGTAACACACCACTGGGCCACGAAATGACCCAATAGTACCTTTTTGAAGCTGAAAGTGACTCAAACAAGGTATGGGGGGGGGGATATATTGCGTACAAATCAGTAAAAGTCATTGCGCTCATCTAACTGAAGAAAAAGAGAGCTGGGGGTTATTTTGCCCCTTGGAATCAAAACATCTTATGTCGGTAATCGGAAAGGTCAAATCATACAGTTTTGGTGCTTTATAAGCAAAAAATGAAGGCTGATAAAAATTAATCAGATTCTAGCATTCTGTTATTTACCCAATCAGAAGAAAAAAAGGGGTCGAGGATGGGGGCGGGGGTTGATGGCCAATCAAAAAAAAAACTTGCAGCATCGGAAATGATTAAAGCCTCAGCGAAGGGACAGGAAGAAGAGGTTTCCTAATCAAATATTGACCTTGGAGGTCAGTGTTCAAGGGGAAGAATTTTTTCAGAAAGCTTTTTTACGTCGTGGACATCAACAGTCACAGTAAAACTTCAGTCTCCTTTTTTTATATTTAATACAACATAACAAGGCTGAAAGTTACATCAGAAACTGAACACTGTATCACGCAACGTGCCCAGATTAGCTACAAGCAGTTGATGTAATCAAGTCGACGTAATAATGTAAATCTACTAAATGAATGCGGAGCACTTCTTAAAATAACCATGGCCATGCTATACGTCATTGGCCTGGAAAACACTCCACCTTCAGGAAGCTAAAAATTTCGTTAGATTCCCGTTGGAATAATCTTAGCTTAAAAGATTGAGGTACATATAACTTCTTAGCGCCTAAACACAAAACGACGCTGAACAAGTGCTCTGGAACTGATCTGTTTGATCAATGTACAGCCTTACTTTTACAAAAAAATTAAGTTCTCCACTCAATAAAACATTAAAAAAGCGTATTACTGTTACTAAGCAATTGAACTAACTGAACCACAGTTCGGGTAATTATATAAGATAACAACAATATCATAAGACGGTCCTGAGGGGGGTACACCAAATCCCAGTCCCCATCCCAAGTTTGGTCCAAATCCTATTCCCACTGGTTGTTTGCCGGAAACTGATGGCATGCACATAATAAATGAAAAGCTGCACTGATTGACACCGTCTGGATACAGGTACATCAGTTCATCTGCAAAGAACAAATCTCTCACTCTACTGGAGAAGTGAACAATCTTTCTCTTCCAACTCTAATTGGCATAACCATATTAAAAATACTTCTCTCAATCTCACGTTCAACATCTTCATCCGACTCACGCACTATCTCTACTTCGCCGCGTCAGTAGTTTGCACGGTTCAGTCGAAATCAGTTAAAGATTATAGTTTGCAATTATTTTTGGCGACTCAGGCACTAAATCTCTACTTCACCGCGTTAGCAGTAGATGTCACGGTTCAGTCGAAATCAGTTAGAGATTATAGTTCGCAATTTTCTGTGCGGATTACCGCATTGTTTGCTGATCTCAAACATTTCGATGACCATAATTGTGCAAAGTGCGGAAAATATTTTTTAAATCAGACGCCATTTTGATCTTTCTCAAATGGGCATGTCGTCTCAGCGACAACAAACCACTGAACAGGAAAGCTGACAGAACTTCATTTATTCATTGCTATACTTTGGTTTACTGATGCATGATTGGATTTCTCCATTTCCAAAAGTAGGCTTATTTGTGCAAAATTGTGTCAAATAATTGAGTCTAAGTCCTCTAAAGAAGAGAAAACACTAAGCCATTTTCAAAGTTGTTCATGCCTCTCCCATCCGAAAAAAGTGAAATCCCAGTTCCTGTTTTACCCCTTCAGGACCCCCTTATAACATTTATGTCACTGAAGCAATAGTAAGTTACAATTTTAACTAAAATGGTATTTACTAACTTACTAATCAGGCGCACCCAACGACAGCTTTATCACGAAAATCAGCTCTGAAATGCCTCTTTATAGGCTTCCTGGGGTTTTTTAAAAGCAATATAAATGAATAATTCGCATCGCTATAAAAATTTTAGGCACACTAGAGAGCTTCGAACAGACATTTCCGAGAAAAAGGTCGTTGGGTGCCCATGACTAATCTGTTGCGATGCGCTTTAGTTTGGAGACGCTTCCGCTTATAACGCGTTCTGGCCTTCCATCCAACATCATCCACTAGGCCAAAATTTAGCCTTTGAAGTTCGTGACTGTATTATCCTTTGACAAAAACGCATATTCATTTGTCTGGACGAGGTAAATTGTCCGCCAATTTGCCAATTTCCTTAGTTGTTACGCAAACAAAATGTTACACTAAGCACAACAAGCTAAGGTATAAAAAATCATTTAGGAAACTGATTTTAACACTTTCAGGGTAAACTGCCATTAGTTAACGCTGAAAAAACTAAATTTTGCCCAAAATACTTTTAGCAAAATCAACGACCCAAAACTGCAGATATTTTATGCTCTATAGATTTGTTCTAAGGCAATGATTAACCGAAGGAACACGTGCGTAACGGAAAGTACCATTTGAGAAACGTATTTCAACATCATCAAAGGAAGCAAAATTTCTCTATCAGCTAATGCTGCTTCGCTGCAATAGTTTTAGGGAGTAAAGTAGTATAATATTCACTTTCTACAATTACACAAAACCTTTTTTCCTCAGGTAAAATAGACTTTGATATTATAATGTTCCTTTGATTCAGCAATACTCTTTCTTTGACATCTCCCTGCAATCATCACGGCCACTGTAAATAAAGTAACATTTGATTAATTAATACGCTTGCACAGCGAAATTACGGCCTCAATACTGCTCGTTCTATAGAGGTTTTAAGATAAAAAGCCTTAGATTACAGGATAGCAAGGATGAGACGAATGTAAAATCAAAGTTGGGAAGGAGCTCAAAACCTTTCATTACGTTACAACGAGAGAGTATGTTATAGCTATTTGTATCATCTAGCTATATGGTGTATGCACAAAAATGGGTTTTTAGAAACATTTTTTGGTCTATTTTTTCCCTATTTAACCGCTTTTCTGCTCATAACAAATCATAAAATAAAGGTTTTAACTCTTTTTGACAAATATGACATTTCTCTTTTGAATCGGGTAAAATGATGACTTTATGGTAGTTCAAACTAAAACCATGATGTTGAGGCAAAAACTAAGAATTCTCAACGCATAATCCAGAGCCAGTATGTCACGGTAACAGCCATTTACAGTGAATGCTGATTTTGCACTTAATTATATGATTATTGAAAGGTTTCTATAGTGTTCAACAAACGTTTTTAAACAATTTTGCATTGCAGAAATGAAATCTGATTACGTAAATCCAGAATGATTGTACATCAACGAACCATCCATATTATTTTTTTGTCAATATTATTCACACTGTCTTGCTTTTACTGCTTATTTGTATTCATTTTTGTCAATTCCTTTACATTTTAATTTGAGGACAATAAAACCTTAAACCTTATTTAATATATTAGGACCCTAAATAGTCTAAAACAAAAGAAAAGTCTGTACTTACAGCTTTCTCAACGGTTTACATCAAATTCAATCGTGACGTCATCGCCAATCAGCACAAATGGAGCCCAGTACTTTGGGGCGGAAAAGTCGTCCGAATCTCGAAGGCGTTTCATGGCCTTCTGCAGAGCAGTACTGGCACTTTCTCCAACTCTCAAGTGTTGGTAGAAACGTTCCATAAACAACATTGTGGCTTCATCATCAATTGCCCAGAGTGACGCCAGCACAGAACGAGCACCAGCAAACAAGAAAGCCCTTGCCATACCGACCACACCCTCAGACGAGACCTCTCCTTGACCACTATGGCAGCAACTAAGAACCACTAGCCTCGCTCTCAGCTTAATGGCTTGTAAATCAGACATTTTCAACATGTAGTCCTCTTCCGTAGGGATAAGAGTCTTGGATTGCCACTCGGGGCTGGGAGCCAATGCAATTTCACCAGCTTCCTTTCCTCCGTGTGCTGCAATGTGAATCAACGCGACTGAATCTATTCTCCGGAGCACCTCTTCTTTGGTTGCAGCTTCTCCTGTGAGTGGTTGGCTGTTAAGAAGTTTTCCAATCATCTCCACTTCTTTTTTTGCGAACTCCAGCTGATCATAAATGGGTTTATCCCTTTTATTTGTAACTTTCTTCAAACATGGATCTCCAACAAGCAGGGCGCCAGTTTTACTGTGGTATTCACTTGAAGAATCTCTTATTACTTTCAAACTTGTCAGGGAGGGAATAATACGGATTCTTAAAGTTTTACTTAGGGCTGTCCAAGGAGCTAAACACAAAGCACCATCAGGGACTACAAAAAGTTCATCGCCATCAAGTAAGTCTTCGATGGGACCGAAAACTATATCGTGCAATGGCTGTAACCAGTCGATATTCTCGTGCGATGGAATCGATATTTTATCATCTTCCTGAGTACTGGAAGTTGACTTATCGCTTAAAACATCAAGTGACCGATTCTCGCATCTAACATCTCTGCCAGCCCCAATTTTTTTCAAAGAAGCTTTCAAAAGTGAATCAAAGGGATCTTCGTGTGAACCTCCACTTTTTAGCGCTGCTTGCCTAAAAATAGCGTTGGTTTTCTTTCCCAGTACCCACAAGCTTATTGTTTCTTCGTCCAATGCAATAAACATTGTCAAAACAGATATGTTCCTTGAGATGTAAGCGAAATCTTCCTCGGTTTCATTTGAGATGGGCGAAAGAGATGTAAAGGCATACGTTATTTTCAAGGCATCTAGCAAAGCCCTTGCTCGTCCCCGTTCGGCCGCGTACAAAGCCTCATCCGTCTTTTGAAGCTCAATAAGAACTCGGCATAAATGACGATAGCTAGATATGAAATGCTTACGAAAACTTATTTTACACGTGTCTTCCGAAATGAAACTTTTCCTAATGGTATCGAACGTTTTTACGCTGAATCTGAAATGAACTACAGCCTCATCCAAAGAACCTGACAACATAAGATTTGTACCCAAGTATTCATAGGCAAATCCTTCTAGGACCATGTCATCCACTTCCTTAGCAATTTTGAGCTGTTGCTTGTGGTACTCGATTGCTTGTCGGAATTGTTTAAGGGACCTATGAGCACCGCCGAGATCGCTATAGGCATATCCCTCACGTCTCCTGTTGCCTACTTCCTTAGCAATGCTTAGGCTTTGCTTATAATGCTCGATTGCTCCTTGGACGTCGCCGAGGGATTCATAAACTGAGCCAAGATGGCCATAGAACGTTCCTTCTCCAGCCCTGTCGCCGACTTCTATTGCAATGCTAAGGCCTTGCTTGTAGTGCCTCATTGATTGTTCGAAGTCCTCGAGATGTAAATAAGCAATGCCGAGATTGCCATAGGCACTTCCTTGTCCGGCCCTGTCGCCGACTTCTATTGCAATGCTCAGGTGTTGCTTGTGGTACTCTATTGCTTGTTGGAATTGGCCAAGGAATCGATAAGCATTGCCGAGATTGCCATAGGCACATCCTTGTCCGGCCCTGTCGCCGACTTCTATTGCAATGCTCAGGCATTGCTTGTGGTACTCTATTGCTTGTTGGAATTGGCCAAGGGATCGATAAGCATTGCCGAGATTGCCATAGGCATGTCCTTGTTCGGCCCTGTCGCCGACTTCTATTTCAATGCTCAGGCATTGCTTGTGGTACTCTATTGCTTGTTGGAATTGGCCAAGGGATCGATAAGCATTGCCGAGATTGCCATAGGCACATCCTTGTCCGGACCTGTCGCCGACTTCTATTGCAACGCTCAGGTGTTGCTTGTGGTACTCTATTGCTTGTTGGAATTGGCCAAGGGAGTGATAAGCATTGCCGAGATTGCCATAGGCACATCCTTGTCCGGCCCTGTCGCCGACTTCTATTGCAATGCTCAGGTGTTGCTTGTGGTACTCTATTGCTTGTTGGAATTGGCCAAGGCAGTTATAAGCAATGCCGAGATTGCCATAGGCACATCCTTGTCCGGCCCTGTCGCCGACTTCTATTGCAATGCTCAGGTCTTGCTTGTGGTACTCTATTGCTTGTTGGAATTGGCCAAGGCAGTTAGAAGCATTGCCGAGATTGCCATAGGCACATCCTTGTCCGGCCCTGTCGCCGACCTCTATTGCAATGCTCAGGTGTTGCTTGTGGTACTCTATTGCTTGTTGGAATTGGCCAAGGCAGTGATAAGCATTGCCGAGATTGTCATAGGCACGTCCTTGTCTGGCCCTGTCGCCGACTTCTATTGCAATGCTCAGTTGTTGCTCGAGGTACTCTATTCTATTCCTTTCTGTCATTTAGCAGTTCTTGTATGAAGAGTGTGGCTGTTTCTTGATGGTAATATACCTAGAAAAGGGAAATATCAAGTTGTCATTCTTTCCTGTCTGCTACTTTTTTGTTTTCTTTGGAGGTGTGCGCGTTGATGTGAAGAAAATGCAGAAAAGTGCTTTCTAATAGTTGTTAAACTGAAATTAGGTTTGTGGATTGGACAAAGAAAAATTTAAAATCCTTCTGCACTCTAAACCACATATTTAATCTTACCGATGCGCTTGCGAACGTTTTGTTTTTTTTATATTGATCAAAACAATGGCCAACCAAAGGTGAGAAATGGGCCGGGAGCGATTTCAGTGTACCAAAACAGTCACGTGAGGATTGAATTCTTTTCTTACTTGAAAGTTTTTGTTTATCCAAGAAATTTTAACGATCACTTAGTACGTGAGTGAACGATCTATTGTTTTTTCTCTTAGTATACGCGTTTTTAACGGCTTAAAGTATGGTCCCATAAACACCAATCCGGTTATCTTTTAAACTGAGTATATATTTTTTTACCCTGGTTTGTGTGAAGGGGGTTCTTAAACCTGACTCTTGACAGGGGTTGCAGCAAGATGCCTTTTCGGAAAGCGGATTTACTGGTTTCTTGTGGACGAATGAGCGATTCGTGTAAAAAAATGAGGTTTCAAAAATATCAAGATTCGTGTGGACGGGGCCTAAACGGAGGTTTGTTGTTGGTGCAGAGCACAAAATGACCTCATACTGAATCGTCTTTGGGGCTTTTCGTAATGATTGTCACCGTCGTCAGGGTACAGTTTGCTTCTAACTATTCAAGGTATTGTCTCTAAGTCTCATTTTTACATAAACGGCAGTAACTAACAATGCATTTGAAATCTGCAGAAATCTTATTTATTGTTTTACACCAAAATATGAAACTTGAAGACAATACCCCTGAGCCATGAGAAGCTTTCACTTGTAAACACGAAATTTTCGACAAAGTAAAATAGCAAATTGTAGCCCTTATTTTTTGACATTGAAGCTCAAGGGTCATATAAAATGACGGTTAATCTCGATAATCTCAAATGTTTAAAAAGATTTATGTAGCGGTTTCAAAATTATTTGCTCATTTGTTAAAGTAGACCAGAATATTAAAAAAACGCCAACTTAAGAGCACCTCAATGTATTGTCAAATCCCTCTTTCTTGCGAACGGCTAAAGCCATTCCCATGATCTCTTGAAATACGTTTAAAAGTGATTGAAAGTACTATGAGGTAAAATTGGATTTCAAAATCGCTTTGTTTTCTAATTAAGATAACGGCTGAATAGTGAATATCCAACCACAAATACCTCATCCCAAAATATCTTCAAAACGCTCTTATACATTTCACTCAAACTTCACGAACATCGAGGAAGCCATTGGTGGAGAAAGCTCCCGTGACCTATATTGGTAGGAAAGTTACCAGTGCCGAGAAATACGGTTGTAAGTAAAATAGTAATGGCGTCGTTTCGTTGTTAAGACTACTTCACTGTAATTGTAACCCGGCTGTTCATAACAAATTTCCATCTTTTTCTAATACAATTTTCGTAGTAATTTTTCTAGATCTTTGTCGATTGCGACGTAGCTAATGCTAAAACATGGGAGGTATTAACGTTGAAAAACCCCAACGAGCCACCTTAAGAAAATGTACAGTGAGTAGCTGTTCCCCTCTCCTCCTATTCCCCTGTATATAACACGCTGCGTTGTTTTCTTTAAACAGCAGAGATCTTGAAGTTACCAGGATAACATCACTAAGTACGAGTCACAAGTAGTGCCGTTTATCAACTAGTAGTTGAATAAAACGAGTTTTAAATCATTGATTGACTCTGGACGCGAAAATTCAGCCAGTTTTTATACGCGGGAAGGCGGTTGCTTTTGGCTTTTCTCACCATGGTCAGTTATTGGTCACGCTCTTCGTCCCATTTTCATGCTCTGGTTGCTCAAAATTTGACAGGTGGGTTCACGCGGAAAATTTATGCATTTTCTGGAAACCTGTTTAGTGATAGCGTCTTATTCTTGTACAAAATGAGAGACATCTGCTATCAAGATTCTTTTGTTATTCATGGCTGGTTTGTTTATTGGGTTTTTGGTTGAGAAATGCTCCGCTTTTCCAAGTCATCGGAAGTCCGTTTTGTGATGGCATCGTTTTCAAATATGAGCCTCTACCTGACCTTGCTGGATGCGTAAGAGGGTTGAAAAGTCTGAGGCGATTCTGGCCTTACTTGATGGCTTTCAGGAGCTGCATCTCGACTGGTAAGCCTCAGTAATTATTGCATTTGATGGTTTTTTTCTGGTAATTTCATGAAGTCCAGCGTAGTTTTTACGGCAAGTTTTTAACGTTTGAGACAATGATCTGACCTAGTATCATGCCAGCTTTGATATACAAAACTTCAAAAGCCTTTAGACATTTTCTGACCGCAAATAGAGAGAAAACGTTCTGAGGAATATTGGTTGTAAAAAAGGAAAGCTTTGAGCGATATTTTTGCCTCGAGTTCATCTGAAAGCCGTTTTATATCTGCAAGGTTTTTTATATGACCGTCAGGATGTCCAGAAACACTTCACTCTCAATACTTGTCTTCGTGAATAACAATTGTTGTCTCTGTAAATGTTTCACCGAATTGTATTTCTTGTCTTGATTGTTAGTAGTCTCTTTCGCAATTTTTTAAAATCGCAATGCCGTTTGTTTTCAGTCGTACATGAACATCGCATGCAGGAGTACTCAAAATTCCCCGCGTATCAAACGCTTTTAATGATTACACATAACAAAACCATAAAAAAAATTAAACATAATAAATTCTTTCTTGTATTGAAGCGTAACTCTATTTACTGATCATTTAAACAAACAACAGCTCGCACTGCAAATTTGACGGTTGCCCGTATAGGTGATTTTTGAAGTTAAATAAAAATACTAGGCTTTTTTGAACGTTTTCGCTAAAAGCCCATTATTACCCTACATAATACACAGAGCAGATTGATCTCATTGAATAATCCCGACATCGTGAGATTTTCTTCATGAAAACGTTTTATAATGGTTCACTTCTATAATTGTTGTGCCAGGGTTAGCGCATGCTTTGATCGTCGTGAATATTGAATGAATGCAATTTGCCTTGAAAAATTGTGAAATACAAAAAAAAAAAAACAGTTCTGTCCGAAGTCTGTACGGTAAACAAAGAGCGCCTGATAGTACTGTTTACCTCATATGAGATGTATAAAAAGTATAAAAGGCTGGTTTACAGGCCATCAGATTTGTCGGCAAGATGTTGTAAAGTAAACTTGTCGAACACAACAAAATCCGGCCTGGTTTTTGATTTTGGTCTCCCTTTTAGACAGAGGAGAGCGTGTAAGTGATTGGCTATCGTGTCTTATAACTGGCCTTTAAAATTATATTTCGGAGCTATCTAATTAACCTTATAAAATAAAGGTGGTGTAGGTGGGTGACTAGGTTAATTTGTTTGGGAAGAATTTGTTTTCCAAACCTAATCTACTGTGATCAAAGGTGCATGATTGCCATTTTTTGGGTGTACAAATACGACTATCAACTCGATGTAAGATTTGCTTTACTTTTGGACTGTTTGCAAATTATTTTTTCTCTAAGATCACTTAGCTTTTATCTCATAAGTCATATGGATCTGCCCTAAAGTTAACTGGTTTGTGGATTACAAGTTTATTGTTTGATTTAAATAATAAATTTATTAACAGGAGATTCGCTTTTAGCCCTGGCTAAATCTATATATTATGTATGTCTATTATCAAGTGAAACACAGGTTGCAGGTTCCCACACTAGGTAGAAAGTTTGATATTACACATTGGTTTTCTTGTGGTGCGGACGGACTGGCGTATGGTCCCGTGATTACCAAAATTTCTCGGGTGGATAGATTACAAAATTTTCTTAGGCATGTGGCTTCGCTCGTGCGTGGAGCTCCGCTAATAACATACTTCTAGCCTATAATGCATTGCTGTACAAATATGCCGTTTCATGTTTTAAATGTAACTGTAACATGAAAAATATCTT